CCAAAGACCATCCCTCTTTGCCTGGTCAACTACAACAGCCTCTTATCTGAGCCCTCTGATTCTTGTCTTGCTTATTCTCCAGGCTTCAGCTTGAGTGGATTTTCTCCATGTCTTTCCCTGTTTAAACCCTGAAGGGCTTCCACTGCCTGTAAGGATCTCAAATGGCTTGCCAGGACCATAACTGCTTCTTTCCCTCTCTGGTCTCATTTTAACATCTCCTGAACATTTCATAGGGATATGACAACCACAAGCAAGGTTTGAAGTCACAAAGACACACACACACACACATTACAATGGTAACACTTAACTAGCTGTGTTATTTTGGGCAAGTCAAATTTCAGACCCTCTGTAAAATACAGGTAGGCTCTTGAGCATGAAAGGAAAAGAGATGCATCCTTAGCACAATGCCTATTGCCTAAAGAATTAGAAGACAGTCAGGGGACAAACTGGGAAAACAGAGATGGACTACTGGAGGGTACCTGACACTTTCTTAACGTGTGTGTGTGTGTGTATGTGTGTGTAAATACAAGTGTGAGCATGTGTGATGTATGAGTATGTGTGTCTATGTGTATGCTCATAATAGTCATAACAATGCAAAGAGGGCATCGGGTGCCCTGCTCGGTCACTGTCCTCCTTATACTCCTTAAACAGGTTCTTTCACTGACTCTGCAGCTTGGTGGCAGTCAGCAAGCCCCAGCATCCTTTTGTGTCCATCCCCCAGACCTCTGGGGTTACAGGCATGCACAGTCTGGCTTGGTTTTTTCTGGAGTGCTGGGGATTGGAACTCAGGCCCTCATGCTTGCACAACTGTTTTTTCCTACTGATCTCTCTCTCTCTCTCTCTCTCTCTCTCGTCCGTGAGACCTTCTTTTCCTTCCTCTTCTCTTACCTCACTGACAGAATGGGGGATGATCTAGGACATTCTTCCTTTGAAGTCTCATAATCCAGACACAAATTATTAAAGATATTTTCTCGAGTCAGAGAAACTGAATCACTTTGCTAACTGCCTAAAGTGAGTCTTGTTCTTCTACAGCTTGGTAGCGAGCACTCCCAGCAGAAGTGTAGGGCTTTGAAAATAGCTGAGCAAGAAACGACAATGCTGAAAAACTGCCCAGAGAAGCGATGGCACACCTGCATTTTACAGGTGGGACGAAGGGAGCTCAGTCAGGCTTTTTCAGGCTGCAGGTTGCTGGTGAGAGGCAGAACTCATCCCGGCTGACGAATGTCTTGTCTGGTGCTTGGACTTATATTTTATTTAAAGCAGCTTAAATAAATAACGTATTACAGTATATTTAAGGCAGCTCAGAGATATGGGGGAGAGAGAGGGGATAGAGGGTCATGTATGCCAGAGTCCAAAGCTCAGATCATCCGCTGAACATCTGTGGGGTCCTAGGCAAGCAGTTTGCCCCCTCTGAACCTATTTCCTCAGTTGTAAAATGGGGATAACAAGCCTTGGGATGATGGAAAGGTTACGTATGGTAAGATTCAGTAGATTTCCTTGAATGGTTCGTGTGCGTTTTCGGTCAGTCTGTTTCTATTTTGTCTAAAATGAAGCATTTTGAGGTCAGTGATAGTGGCCCTGCGTAGTGTATATGAAGTCTTGGGTTCAATCCATAGCACCAGGCATGGTGGGAAAAGGAAGAAAAGCAAATGTGTCAGATAGACATAAAAGTAGAGAAAACTACCTAACAAATATACATTTCCCATAGAGTCTTAGCCATATGGATCTTCTACCAATCAGTTCGTGTCCTACCTCTTGCAAGAAATGCCACGGGTAGAGTCAGAAGTCCACTGTTCCTCTGGGGCCCTGTGTATTTCTTTGTCTCCCTGGGAGTCATTGCCTTTGAAGTTGGGCTGTATCTTTCCCATCTACCCCTGAAGACTTTGACTACTTTCACAAGAGCCACAATCCAGCTTCAAATTTAGAGAAGTTGAAGACTGTAGGTGTCCTATGCTCTTCAGAGATTGTTACCCAAAGCAGGGGCTAAGTCACATGGCATCCACTCTATGTATTCAGTGCTATGCACTATTGCACTGAGTGGCTCCAGGACTCATCTGTTTATCTGCTGTTAGAAACTGGAGGCTGTGCTTCCTCCCCAGTCCCCCAAGCCCTCCAGTGCGATGGTAAGTAGAAATGGGACCTCGGAGAGGTCGCTTCCTTTCTCTGCCATGTGAAGATACAGAAGGAAGATGGCCACTTGCAAATCAGGGAGCTCATCCTCCCTGGAGCCTAACCATGTTTCAGAAATGTGATAAAGAATTGTTAGTTGTTTAGATCATCCACTGTACAGTGTTCCGTGATAGCATCCAGAACTGTTGAGGACACCACCACATGAAAATTAATTGACCCAGCATCCTCCAGCGCTTGTCAGTGTTTTTCAATACAGGGCTACCACGAAGTGACGTGTGGGAAGATGCCATTTTGCCTCCAAGGCAGACAAGCCCCTGTCCACGCTGTTCAGCCTGGGCACAATGCCTGGAGACAGCCCAATGTTTCTCTGACTGTGTACAGGGCTATGATATTCTTAGCATGGGGTGGGAGGACAGATTGGCAGGGCTCTTGTCAGTTTCTAGCAGGGATCCTTCTCTACCGTCTGTAGCCTGCTGTGGTCTTCACAGACCCACTGTAGGCATGGCATTCGGCACACAGTAGGTATTGAGGAACCTTAGTAGGAAAATACAGAAGGTGTTGGCAAGGGGGTGAATCCTAAAAGGATCGGGTGGGGGCCGGCAGCCAGTTCTGGGATGTAAAGGGAGTTTGAACAGAGCAGACTGACTCCTTCTACCTGGGGAAGCTGGATCCTGGCGCTTGGTGCTAGGCCCAGTGCAGCCCACCCCCATGCCCTGGCTCCACACTGTCCACACACAGTCTCTCATTTTTCAAGAACAGAGTCTGGGCTGAATTCCTTGCTCACCACCTATGGTAAAGGAGATTTATTACTCCCACAAGCTCTTTTCATCCTCCCCCTGCCCAGAGACGGATGGATTTTATCTTGATAAATGATGAGGCCAGGTCTCATGGGCAAAGAGTAGAGTGGGTGTGAGGCCAGCGCTGAGGAGGGAAGCTCAGAGTGCCAGGATTTCTGGCTGCTGATTACAGGACAGACTGCCACCCTCTACTCCTCTGTGTCTGGAAAACTGCAGAACCAGACTTTGTGGCACTTCCAGGAAAGTGCCCCTAGGTGGCTACCCGGTGGCCACAGCTGACTAGGTGGCGGTCACAACACTGCCTTCCTAACCTTGATGCTCCAGTTCCTAAGTCTGCTAGGAGGTGAACCTGCAGCCAGGCCAGCTGTAAACTCTGCTCAACTTTGCATTTGATGCTGCCCATCACAATGATGCTCTTGCATTCAAGGCCAGCAGGCTTAGGTGATGCAACCTCGCTTCTCACAGCCCTGGCAGCCTTAGAAAGGGCCCACAATTAGCATCCATTAGATGCTAGGAGCCTTCCTCCCTTTATGAAGCCAGCCCCACAGCATGTTGTCTGGATGCTCTCAGGCACAATGAGCCACATCTGAGCCACAGTCTCTGCTTTGGCCTTGCCAGAGGGTGTCCCCTTAGCCATCTGTGTGCAAGACCACTAACCCACAACTGGGAGAAGCCTTCCTGAATGAAGAGTAACAAAGAGTGGGAAGGATGAGCAAACTCTTTGGATCTAATCAGTCCTGGTTCCCATGGCAGTCTCATTCTTTGGACAACACTGTGACATACAGTGAACTCTTCATAAGCAGTAACTACTGCAACTATTGCCTGTACTCCAGACATTGTCCTTTACCTCATATTTCATGGAAGGCTTGGTGGTCTCCACTGCACGCTCTTGAATGACTGGATGATGAGGGCAAGCCTCATGAAAGGGATGTAAGACCCAGAGGTTGTAAGCCAGCATTCAAAGAAGACATATGCGTTGGAATCTCTGGGCCTCATGTTGTTTCTTGCTGAGCTGTGATGCGAAGAGAATGCAGTCACTTTGTTCAGAAGCCCAGAAGTCAGGCATCCTGGAGGAGGTGAAACTGCAGATACCTTGGGGAAGGGTCCCAGGCTGTGGGACAGGTGGAGACAGGTGGGTATGTAGGCCTAGAAAAAAAAATTCTTTTCTGGGCATGGGGACTGGGACTGCCCTATTGGCTTGACCAAAGCCAAATGTGGTCATGGTTCCCAGCTCCCAACTCCACACACGTGTATCTGGGTGCTTCCTCACACACTGGCCTGTACCCACTGGGAGGCAAGCAGTACAGTCAGAAATCTGGAGCCCTAATTGGTGGTCAGGGAGCAAAGGGGTGCATGCTGGGGAGCCTCCCATTTTCCTAGATGCAAAGATGTCCCTCTGAGACTGGCATGATGTTTTACTGCAGGAGACCCAGTTCTGTGGGTCTGGCCCCATGTGTCTCCTGTCTTCCTTTTTTTTCCTCCTAGGTTTGTGTTATCTACTCTGACCTAGCCTTTCTATCTGGCCCTCCCACTGCCAATGCTATGGTCCTGGTGGGTACCCAGACCAGTCATACTCTGGCTGGGGAACGGAGGGAATGTACTTTAGGCTCGAATAGGCCAGGTAAGCTTCAGGTTTGCAGGTCTCTCTCTGCCTGCCTCCACTGGTACCTCTCCTCAACAGTCAGATATGAGAACAGGATCAGGTACTGCCTGGCATGGTATGCTTTCATTTTGACCTATAAAGCTCTAATTATAGAATTTACAAGTCTTTCTGAAATGGCCCCTTTCTGGCCTCTCGATGGGACTAGGATGTTTTGCATGCTCCAGCAGATACAGGGCAGACCTGGGCAGAAACCTGCCTCAGCTACTGCTCATCAGGGGTCACATCCTTCTGGGAGAGTGATTCCACTCCTTACTTCTACCTCCCCAGATTGACTCATCTGACAAGGCTCTACCCAACTGCGCCATGAGTTGAAGTCCTCAGCATCTTACGATCTTGGCCCCTCCATTGGTGTTGACCTTGTTCCTCTGGATGCAGCTCTTTGTGGTTACCCAACCTTCAGATGCTCGTGAGCTCACTGTGCCCTCACCACAATCCACCCAGTCCTATTGATGGGCATGAAGTGAAGTTCAGAGGTGAGGTTTTCCACCCAGGGTCAGCCAAGCTTGATGCAGTGGACTCAGAATCTGTCTGATAAGACTGCATGATCTGAAGTACACAGGAAGCTGCCAGGCTGCAATGGTGGCAGGACAGGCAAATGGTGTTTGACAACCCAAAGCTTTCATTCTCTCTCCTGCACAACCCAAGGCTGGTCACTCAGAATGGACGGAAGTTACTGCTTTCTCCTTTTCATTCTTGCTGTTTCTATGTCTTAAAGCCATGCTGAAAATTTCGGAATGTTTAGCTTACGTTTACTTGCTTCAAGAAGTGTCTTCCTCCTTCAAGTCATTACAGCTGTGTGACTGCATGCAGTTGTAACTGGTGCTGTGACTGCAGTGAGGTGGACACTAATGAGCATCTCCCTATTCAGGGCTGGTACCCAGAAAATACACTAGACTCTCTAGTGGCTGGAGACTTCTGGGAAATGGTCCCAATGGCCAAGTCTGATCAGGGTGGGTCTTGGATCCTTGAATGGGAGCAGGTGTCTCACTTTTCTTCTCTGGGATCCAGGCTTTTATTATTGACATGAGACTCTCAGGGATCTTGGTGCTCATGTTTCCCAACCTTCCTCTGAAGGAGATGGGACTTGATTTGGTTTAGATGATTTCAATGATCCCTTCCGCCTTTAAATTATTTGATTATTTGTAGCAATGACTTGTAACCTAGGGGTGATTTTGCTACTTCTCATTCCTGAGAGAGGGTCAACAATGTCCGGGAGGCATTATTGGTTATCATAAACTGGAGAAGGTTTGCTCCTGATCTCTAGGAGTTAGAGATTAGAGGCCAGTTAGAGGTGTTGTGAAACATCCTACAGGGCATGAAATGCCCCTACTCCCCAAATAACCAGTAGCTAGGGCTAAAATGGTAGTATCATAATGAAGAAGGAGACATGTTACCAAGCCCCAAAACATCAAAAGGACAATAATAGAATCTAACGAATAACCTGTGCCCCCAAAGTCAATAACTGGAATGAAATGGTCCAGCTTCTAGAAAGACAAAGCTGAAATTCAAACAAGAAGAAAAAGGCAATTTAAATTGAACAACCAATTAATAACTTTCCCAAAGACGGAGTGCCAGGGTAATTCACCAGGTTTTTCAGTGAATTCCATCAAACATTCAAAGAATAAGTTGTACCAATTCACCAATCTCTTTCTAAAGAGAAGCAGAGGGAATATTTCCCAACTTACTGTGAGGTCATCTCTTTAGTACTTAACCAGACCAAGGCATCACAAAACTAACATTGCACATGAACACAGACACAGAAATCGTCAGCACGGCATTAGCAGGCCGAATTCAACAAGGTAAACAAACAATTATAGACCACAGCCAAATGGAGTTTACTTCAAGTTTATAAGCCTGACTATGTCATTCCCCATCTCTGGGACATACTGGCAATCCTAATCATTCAAGTTTCAAAATTTCATTTATATATGTATTTACTCATTATTGATTGATTGATTGGTTTGGTTGATTGACATGGAGAGTGGTGTATGTGCTTGGCTTGTATTTCTGAAGATCAGAGGACAACTCCCAGGTCTCAGCTCCTTCCTTCCCCCACGTGAACCTCAGGGACCGAACCCAGGTCACCAGTCTTTGTACCAAGTGAATCATCTCCTGGCCCTCTGGAAGGCACTTTTGATTGTTACAAGTGGAAGGAGGTAGTTTATTTAAAATAACCAATTAATGTAAATCATCTCATCAATAATCCAAAATACAATAAGGTAGATGCAGAAAGTATCTGACAAAAATCTAATGTTATTCATAATGTTAAAAAAATCAGTAAATGCAAAGACTAGAGAGGAGCATCCTCAGGTTCATAAAGAATATCCACAGGAAGTCTCAGCTAACATCAGACTTAATGAGAAAAAAACTGAAGCTTTCATCTGGGTGGTGGTGGCACACGCTTTTAGTCCCAGCATCCAGGAGGCAGAGGCAGAGATAGGCAGATCTCTGTGAGTGTGATGCCAGCCTGGTCTACAGAGGAGTCCCACGGCAGCCAGGAACATTACACAATACACAGAGAAACCCATCTCAAAAAAAAAAAAAAAAAGGAGAGAGAGAGAGAGAGAGAAGAAAGAAAGAAAGAAAGAAAGAAAGAAAAGCAAAGCAAAACCTGAAAAACAAAATGAACCAACCAACCAAACAAACAAACAAATGGAAAAGCTTTCAACTAAACTTAGGGACAGGGCTAGGATGTTCCCTCTCACCACTTCCAACCCAATGCGAGAAGTCCTAGATAATGCGATTAAGAAAGATAGGTAAAAGATGTGCTAATTGGAAAGGAAGAAATAAACGGTCTCTATTCGCAGGTGACATGATAATCTCTGCAGAAAATCTGAAACAATTGCCAACTCCCTAAAATAGACAAATGCAAGCTAAATAAAACACAATGCAGCATGTCAAAACCAAAACAACAACTCTTGGAAGTCAACAGCAATGATTTTAAATCTGTAGGCTAGAACACTAATATAAAAAATAGTTGTTTTCTCATGCACCAGCAATGAGTTGGTGGAACTGGAAATTAAGAACAAGACAGCAGGTACATAAACATCAAAATTATATGCTTCAGTATGCATCTAGAAAATTATATTATGTCTATCTGTAGATGACTACAAAATTATTATGAAAGAACAAAGCCAAATACCAATGGAAAGATACCCCATGGTCACGGATAGAAAGAGTCAGCACTGTTGAGATATTACTTCTTTCCAAACTGACCTTTAGACTTAATAAAACCTTAGCCAAACTCCCAGCAAGAAAATTTCCTAATATCAACAAACTAATTCTGAAGTTTATAGAAAGAGGCGAAAGACTTGTATTAGTAAACACAAAACTGTAGGAATGACGCTACCAAATCTCAAGACTTAGGATAAAGGTATATTATGATAAAGGTAGTGTGTATTGGTGAAAGAAAAGACAGATCAAATAGGACAGAACAGAAGGCCTATACGCAGACTCAAAATACACAGTGAGTCTTTGTCAAGAGCCTTTGGACAAAAGAGCAAAAGCAATTTAAAAGAGCAAAGATGTACCAGGTACAACAATTGGACACTTATGTGCAAAAATTGAAGATAGATACAAATATTTACCCTCCTGAAGATTTAACTCAAAATGGATCACAGACCTTGATATAATACAGAAATTTTAAGAGGCTTAGAAGGCACCATAGAAAAAGATCTAGATGACGTTGGGTTTTTTTGAGGGCTGTTTAGATTAAATATCAAAGTCACAGTGCATGGGAGAAAGGCGTGTTAAGCTGCACTTCATTAAAAATCCCTGTTCTTCAAAAGCTACTATCAAGAGAATAAAAGGTTAGTCTCAGCCTGGGAAGATGTATTGGAAAAGACACAACTGATAAAGAATAGTTATCTAAAACAGACAGAGAACTCCAGCAATTAAATAAGCAAGCAATTCAATTAAAATGTACCAATGACTGTAAGTAAAAGACACCCCAACAAAAAGAGTTATAGATTTCAAACGCGCAAAAAGAAGATGCTATACAATTGCCTAATGCCATTAAATGGCAACGAGATACTCACTCACGGCTATCAGAAGACCAAAACCCAGTGAGCACTGGTAACACCAGAGGCTGGGGAGGATATGGAGCATCAGGAATACATTCACCACTGGTGGGAATGAAAAAAACACTTCAGCTACTTTGAAACCCGGTTGGATGGTTGCTTAAAAACACAAAATGCCATATGATCTATCAACCACATCACCCAATGTTAACCCAGAATCGCAGCAATACAGAAGCCTGCACATGTGTTTAAACTGTGATTTTTTTAAAATTTTATTTTATGTGCATAAGTGTTTGGCTTGCAGGTTTGTCTGTGCACCATGTGCAAGCCTGGTGCCTGTGGAGGCCAGAAGGAGGCAATGGGTCCTCTGGAGCTAGAGGTACAGACAGTTGTGAGCTACCACGTGGGTGCACCTGCATGGGACTGGCACTCGGCACTTACTGGTAGGAGTCACCAACCTCCAGTGCAACTGTCTCCTCTCCTTGTCCCACCCACTTGGGTGATTTGTCACTTACTGCAGGCTAGATCAGAGTAGAGCTTGTGTAAATTGGAAGCTGAGGTTTTGGCCCTTTTCTCTCCTGCCCCCCTCTTTGGCTGGTTTGCCAGCAGGATCAGGACTTACTTCCCCCTGAACCCCGAAAAGCCTTGGTGGGATTGTTTCCTCCTATCCAATCATAACTGTCCAGGCGTTACTGCCCCCAATTGTGGGTCTCCTTCCTCTCCTACAGTTAGGCCACACATTCATATCCCTTTGGTCATTCTGTAACAGAGCCCCCCCCCCATCCTTGCTCAGGAGCCTTGTGTCTGAAGGTCAGGTCTCTCTGTTTTGGCTCTGTTCTTCCTCATCTACTGTTGAGGGACAAGAACCAAGACACCTTGAATACAGCCATACTGTATGTCCCAGCATGAAATGCTGGGCCTTCCACACTTCCTGCCATGTGAGCGGACAACACCTTATGTGGGGGCACCCATTGCCCACACTCTCTCACAGCAGGTTTCTGCTCTTCTCCCAGCCCCAGATTTCAGCATTGCTCCCAGGACTCTCTAGCCATCGTCCCTGGACCCTGAGTCACAGTGACAACTCTGTGTTGCCGTGGACCTGGGATGTGAGCTGCTGAGCACTGGCACTACATCTTGTGTGTATGACCCATGACAATCCAGGACATGGACCAGAGCCAACTTTGAGTGGCAGCATGAAACAAAAAGGTCCAGACTTACTGCACAATCAAGCACCCCCTTCCTCTGTTTCTTTTGACCCTCCTGTGGTCATATAAGGGGCCATACACACAGAAACTACAGCAATGGAAAGGGCCTAGAACCGAGGCTGAGGCCAACGAGATGCCCCAAGAGGGTGGGAACACCTGCTTCTAAGCCCGATGACTTGGGTTTGATGCTTAGAACCCACATGAAAGGAAGAAAAGAACTGACTCACAGGCTGGCTTCTGACCTTCACT